CAAATCAAGTACTCGTCAGTCTCTAATCTTCAGTTTCAGTCTTCGACGTTTGCTGAAGGTTCTTTGGTGTGAGTGTTGTCTTCTTGAAGTATTGTTGTCTCTGATAGATTTACAGTGCAAGTTCTTCAGCAATCACTGAACATACTCAGTGAAGCTCGTTGGAACTGAAAAGACATAAACATAAATAAAACATATAAGTGAAAAGGGATTATCATCAAATCACTGAGAGAGAGGGTCAACAGAAACATACAACTATTGCTAAAGAGCTTGTTGAAAAGAAAAAAAGTGGCTTGACATCGCTTCTGAGAATGAAAAGAGCAGCTCAGATGAAGAGAGAAGAGATTTTATGAATTAGAAGAAGAAGTTTGAAATGCTTAAGAAGAAGTTAGAAGGTAAACTCTTGGATACTACAAAGAAATTGTCTGATCTGAAGACAGACCTTGAAACTGAATTAAAGATGAGAACAGAACTCAAAAATAAATATGATTTAGTTACTGTGGAAAGAGACCAGCTTTTACAGAAAGTCAAAGACTTTTCTTATACTCAAAGCTCAATTGGTTCTCCTTCTCAGTGTAAAACTAGCTTCTATGACTGTTCCAAATCGAATAGTTATTCAAGCAGCCCTAAATCAACTGTTTCTATGAACTATTCTCGTTCTTCTGATCAGTATTATCAAGGGTATGTCATTGAATCACCCAATTACTCTTCTAAGGTTCAAAGCATTTGGGTCAGTAAATCTGAATCTGTTTCATCTCGTACCCCTGTTTTGTAAGATCTACTACTGATTTGATTCATCTTAGCAAGAGAAGAATCATGTGCTCCACATGCAAAGCAACAGATTTTGTGAACAAGAAGGCATACAACAGATGGAGTACAAACAACAGATATTAGAAGGATTGGAAAGGTAAGAACAAGTATGATTACAATAACTGGAATGGATCATATTTTGTATTTGATCATCCTGTTAAAAGTGCTAAAAAGAAAACATTTAATAGAAATAGATGGTTTGGAAGTTACAATATACCCCAGCCTGATACTAACAAAATAGGACCCAAGTTCATTTGGGTACCAAAATCTATTTGATCTGATTTTGCAGGTGTGTCAGTTTTACGCTGATCAAAATATCATACCATTGATGCACTAATTCAGGGGGAGTTGTAAACTATCCAAATATAAGGCTTCTGAACATCACAGTTTAGGACCCGTGTCTTACCGAGTGTGGTTTCTAAACACACAGTTTAGGACCGTGCTAAACATGTTTTCAATATTTTTTTTAAAATTCTTGAGCTGAATCGAATTATTTCTTAAATCTACTTTCTAGGGGGAGTCCCTAGAAAGTTCAATAAATGTTTTTCGGAAAATAATTTTTTTTAAGGAAACGAGTACATTTTCTGAACAGGTATTTCCTGAGATTTACTTGCRTAATTTCTCATCGAACATAACTCCAATACCTGTTTCAGCTATTCTTCAAACTGTTATTATCACGTCTCTTAAAATAATATCTTTTTCGGTGATAATACGCTCGTTTGTATTCAAAGGTTGATTTTCTGATTTTTTTTTACCTTGATTGATATAAATTTCTTTTTTAATCAGAATCTGTATACTTGTACTTACATATCTTCAT